TATTTCTTGTATTTTATCATGTTGACAGAGTACGCCCCTATCTTTTAATGCGCACGTGCTATAGAATATTATAAAATAAATTCTTTAGACTCTAATGGTTCTTATTTAGTCTCACATCCTTTAAAAGCTTCATTTCTAAATTTACTTGCATATAACAGTAAAAACAACCTCAGTATAACAGTTGATAGATAGATAATTTGTAACACCGTATGGTATGTAAAAATGAAACTGATGTTTCGGACGTTAGTCCTTCATCGGAGTAAAGCGTTTACTCCGATGAAGGACTAATGTCCGAAACGTCAGTTTCATTTTTACATACCATACGGTGTTACAAATTATCTATCTATCAACTGTTTTACTGAAAACACCGACGCAGTTACATGCATGGTACATGCATGTATTAGACTACGATTTGAAGTGGGATCCTGTTTACCTGATCTAAAAATACTACTATATTTATGTTATTGATTAGCTTAATCTCGTCTATGGTGTCAGCAATGGGCAGCAGAGAAGTTCATTTGATAATATATATCATTATCAGTCGCCAGTGTGTATCATTTTGTCCATTGTTTGCATACATATTTGGTTGTAATTGCCCCCTTGACTTGTGTTTCAATATAAGTCGATTTTACGTTCACTAATTCTCCTACACTATAGTTTGCATACACTGAGATATAATTGTAGTTTTATGTTCAAGCGCGACCATGTTCATGGTCCATCCTCGGGAATCCACGGCGGGACTCTTCCACACGAGTCTCACTACCAAAAGAAAACCGTCCCAAGTAACAGTGTCTTTAAGTCTTGATCCAGACGTCAATCATGTCTATCCTCGTTCCTGATTGGCTCATCAGCAGGTTGATGACCAATTAGACACAAGAAATCCTTGATGGATTTTGAGACTTTAGTTTTAATGATTACGTTACCGATTACGTTACAGAAAATCGGTCTGATTTGTATTTTTTGATGAGTGGAAGCCAAAATCCAAGACGTTTGGGGATGTACATGGGATGAAAATGTGTGTAATAGTTGACTTCGGGAAGAATGACCTAAGGACAGTGCACACGGAGTAGTATTCTTTGATAGCGACATTCATGTGGTCTTGCCGTGGATTCACGAGGATAGACCATATCTAATAGTTCGTTTTATCAACAATGACCTTAACAAACATACAATCATCCTTGACATAGGCATGCCTGTCCAATTCCCCCAGAGGACAGAACATCGGGCATCCACTTGCAACATTCATATCTCTGGCAGGTTTCTGGAACGATGAACTCAAAGGGTCTGGTTTAAACGCATCAATCACGTGCTCCATAGAGTTGTGGTCAAGGATCATCATTGTGACTTTCTGTGTGAATGGCCAACGAAGAAGAGCATCGTTCTCTCCTCTCACTATAACAAAGAACAGTGAGATATGCGTTCCCCTACCAATGCCATCACCATTAAGGTATATGCGCGCGCACATCTTGTACCCATAGCGACTACTATAGAAGAACGGAGAGTAGAATGAAGGGTTACTTCCGTTGATGGCGTCACGTCTTTTTTTGGCAAAATCAGATATTTTCCATAACAATACTCCTTTGTAGCTGGTATCCTCAAGCCGGCGGAGATCTTTCTCCATGTCTGTCATGTTAACACCACTCATGGCTATGATCTGATTTTGACTTTGAAGCTCTCTCTCCATTTGTCTGAAAGCCGTTTGCAAGACTTCTAGCGACTGCGACATGCGGGTAAATTCTCTTCTCAGACCCTCGTAATCTTCGGGGATTTCGTTACGATCTCTATGCCTTTGCCTGAGGACTTCTCCACCAGGGACTTCTCCACCAATTTGTTCCTTGATGTTATCCTCAATAGCTTTCGTTCGTGCACCTTGCAATTTCAGCTCGTCTCGGACTTCTGTGTTACTGATGATGAGGGCCGCTATTTGTGACGTCATCTCGATGACTGTTTCCTTTAGTGCCTTCAGGTTACCAAGCTCTTCGCACAAGTTTGACATTTTGTTGAGTACCCATTGTATTTGGTCCCTGATCGCTAGGACGAACACAAGAAGTAGATTCAGATGAAACATCACGAATGATCTCAGATGGTTTTCTCGTTCACTCTTCTTCATCTGTTAAAAACACACCAAAATATGCTTAGTCTTTTCATATAAATATGGGTATCTTAAAAGTGTCATACGAAGAAAGAGGATGTTACCTTCTTTTCCTTACAACCAACAGGTGCAAAGGCACACTCCCTTTCCACTTCTTCACACTCGTCGTGGTGGTACTTCAACTGGTATTTCAAGAATAAAAAAGCTTGGTGGCATCTTTCTGGGTATGGCGGCCATTTTGAAACGCAATCAAGCTTCACGGATGGTCAATGATGTCTTGTATAACCAAATCGTTCAACGGAAAATATTCGCCAATACTTATGATCTTTAATAAGCATTTTTTGTGTTCCATTGTCTTGTACAATGTTTATCTAAATGTTTCCTAAAAATTAAGTTTTTTTTCTTTAGAAAACGTCTATTGCCACGCAAAATGGCTACCATTATCAGCAGTCATCAATAGTAACGTTGCTACGAATTCTTCAATMTTTTAGCTGGCCTTTGTAAGTAAAGGTGTTGTCGTTACCTTTGTCACCATTGGTACTTCAAACACTACTACACACCAAGCGAAATCACGGTTACTTTCGAAACGAGTCTGAAATTTCATTCATCGTAAAAGTGAGGCTTGTTCGAGTTTCAAAATGGCCATTGAAGACTGTGTACGAGAACTCTCGATCGTATAAAAAGAATGTTTAAAACACAGAAACAATAATTTGTAGAATATGAATGTTTTTACCGTGAAAACTGAGAAAGTCAGTAAGATGTTAGATAGCTAGACTTCTGAAGCGGACCATGACTTCGTATGGTCAAATTCTCAGAAAAATCTAAATTGGAAATATGCAAATGTGAGAAATCAAGGRATTGATCAGCGGGAAATTACGTTTAAGTGCATAAAACAATGGTGAGCAGTTTATTTCAACCTGGAGACGAAAAAGCAAAAATAAGAACCACGTTTTTTGTATAAGATTTGATGAGGACAGACAGAAGGACCCCGAAATCAATGGTACAACAAACTCGTGCAATGTATGATGGTATAGAAAGGGATAAAAATGCTTTGGTTGGTGAAATGCATTGAATAAGTCCATTCGAAGATTTCTTTGATGGTTTATATCTGCTGTTCCGAGGTTCAGTAGAAACCTGGGTCGAGTTAGCATTACAGTGCATTGTGGGAACGTTTCAGTGGAAATATTTCCAAGATAGCGTCTATTTAGTCCTCTCAAACGGCCCTCAACCTCGGAATTGCAAAACTTCCTACTCTTTTTTACCCGTTCCCGCCAAAAGTTTACTTACCTCTTCTCTAGGAATGTTCGTTTTCATACACAAACCACAAGTTTCAGGAAAAGACATGCACTTTGTACTTTCATGGACCTAAAGAACAAATATTCTATTGAAACTGAGTCGTTGCCGAGGCAATGTTGGAATCAATGTTACCTTGACTTTAGAAAACGGGATGCTCATCTTGCAGTAATTGCATGTTACCGCTCGTTCGCTGCATTCATTCTCGAGATGGAAGGCAAGTTCACTTCTCTTTACCAGGACCCCGCAGGAAGAAAACATGCAAGAAACCCGCACGAAAGGACACTCTTCGAGATGACGCTGGAAGAATAATCGTTTGATATCACAAGATTTGGCTCTTTCTCTTCTCTCTGTCCCTCTTTTTTTCTTTCTTTCGGGTTTTTCCTTCATGTCCTTTCTTCTCTCTTTCTTTTTCTTTACCATCTTTCTTTTTTTCTTCTTCTTCTTTTTTTTCCTTTTCTTTCTTACTTTTCTTCCTCTTTCTTTTTCCTTTCTTCTCTTCATCCCCTTTCTGGCTTTTCTTTTAATTATCCAGTTGTAATTCTCCTTACCTCTAGTACCCTTATTTCACCAGTCCATGTGCACCCATCTTCAACATAAACACAATGCACCGTGAAAGACAGCACCTCACGCGCTATACACGCATCGGGAAACACCTTCAAAATTAGATCAAGAAAAAATGGCTTAAAATCAGATTCTTTGACCCWATGACTTTGCTCGGGATCTTCATAATGTTTTGTCAAATAGGCCTTTTAGCTTTGATGGGCCATAATGATGTTATCACATTTTAGACCACGTGTCATTCTCTTGAGAATGAGATWCTTTGTTTGAGTTGTATTCATATTGAATTCACGTCTTCTCATGCACAACCGTTAAACAAAGAAATGATACTCTAGGTAATGACACGTCTGAAATGGGAAAACTTTGCACCCAAGGTGAAAACTCTATCAACTGACATAAAATGATATAAGTAAAGAAAAGAGGGTAAAAGAAAATTGTGAAAAAATGAAAAAGTATTCCTAGATACCAAGGTTTTTCTGAGAGGGTTTCCATCTTTGAGACATTTGGCATCACTTGACTTCCTGCAGGTAATAAAACTTCATTTCACTCTTTTCYAGCAAATATATGAGTATAAAAAACTGAAATAACCAGTGGGTGATAAAAATATCGTATTTCATAAATATAAAAAATATTTGAACTTGGTACGTACAATTAAAAAAGTCATCATGAAGCATTACAGATTCAAATGGCTCACTAGCAGCTCGGCCATCATAGGTTTAAGTGTTTAAAGAACCATTATAATTAATCGCTAAAGTATTTTATTCTATTTTATCCACTTATATAATAACATGCGTAATAGGTWAATTACGAGCCTTACGTGAAACGACTGAAGAAGAGGGCCAATGGGCCTTTCACAACTTCAAGTCGCGTACCTATCACGCATGTTCTTATACGATTTCTGAGCCCATCCCACATGGCTTACCGCCTCATCTGTCCAATTATATATGTAAAAACATAAAAAKTTACATTTCTTATTATATTTTTAAAATTTAGGTGGAAAATGTCAAGTGGCGAATTAATTAAATTAAATTAATATAAAGGTCTTTACCTGAGCAAAAAATCCAAGCAGGAACGACAATAATGGTGTCCACATTCTGTCTGGACGGGATCCCTCAGCACAAAGGTGCAAGAGTTACACAGGTATTTCTGTCCAATCTCCGCTAAGTCTTGTAAGGATAACCGGAAGCCCGTTTTCGCCATGACTTTCGCTTTAGATCAATTTCTAAAGAAAAGAAAAAGAAATGCTCAATATGCAGATGGCATAGTGGTTGGCGTGCATTGCATTTTAAAGTGCATGATACTGCCGCTTTCCGATTTACTCCCGAAGCATGGTAATACACAGTTTTTTTTATTCAAACGTGGGACGCTTGTCACAACTGTGTATTACCATGCTTCGGGAGTAAATCGGAAAGCGGTCAAGCGAGATCACACCGTGCATGGTGCGAAAGAATTTGGTGTTATGGTCATTAGCAAACAATAGAATTCCCAGAG